GTGACCCGCGCAGCGAAGCGGATGGCGGGCGCGCAGAAGGGTTGCGCAAAGGATCGGCCTCCATTCGCGGGCGACGAGCGGCGTAGCTCGCCGGCCCGACGGGCCAGAGGTGTGCTACAATCTCCGGTAACAGTTTTTTGGTCTGCGGGGCGAGAGCGAGCCTCTTCCGCCAAAAGCTAGGCGGGCTACGCGCAGCTTTAATTAAGGAGACAGGGCACAGGAAGGCGGGGCCTCAGGCGGCCGGAGCAGGTGGAGCCCGGGGTGCTAGACAATCTCCGGTAACAGGTGAATCGCATGTCCGGTTCGCGCGCGCGTGGCGGGCCTCGAGGGTCCCGGGACGAAAAGTACCCCTGGCGGGCTCCGGCCAACTCCTGGGCAACTCCCGCGCGGTCGGTGTCACGGATGCCGGAACTCCTGGGGGCGGTATTCGGAGCCTTCAAAATCGGCCCGCGAGCGCCCCAAGGGACCCCAAGGGAGCTCCAAAAGGGCCCAAGTGTCGGGATCAATAGGCGGCAGGCCTCAAGATGACTCGAAAACAATCCCAAGAGGGTAGCCCCGAGATGGGCCCCAGACAGGCCCAATTGGGCCCCCAGAGGCTCAGCTTCAGTGATGTTCTGTTGGGTTCTGGAAGGGTTTTGGCGGCACCGCCTTTTCGGGCTTCGGACCACCGCCCAAGGCTGCCCAAGTGGCCGCCAAGGTCGGCCCAAGTCAGACCAAGAGGCTCCCAGGATGGCCCCAAGACAGCCTAAGAGGGCCGGCCCCAAGACGGCCCAAGAGGCCTCCCAAGAGGGCTCCGCAGGCTCCCTCCCAAGAGGGCCCCAAGAGGGGGAATCCGAACTGACATGTCGAGCCCTTCCCCGAAAGATGGCCCCTGAGACTGCCGCCGGCAGGCCCCCAAGACACCCTTCGAGAGGGCCCAAAAAGGCCCCCGAGCTGATGCCCCTGGAGGTCCCCAATACAACCAAGGGGCCGCCGAGAGGCCTCCCAAGAGACTCCAATAAGCCTCCTAAAGAGGCGTCTTGTCCACGACCCAGTTTGGCTCCAAGGACATTCAATGAGCCATCGAGAAGCCTCATCTTCATCCTCCCATCTTCCTTCTCCCCGCTCGCCTCGAGCACACCAACACATAGCACCACTGATAGAACATGGGCCAGCGGAGTGAGAGAAGCGATTCAATATCAGCTGCTCCGCGATCGAGGACGCCTGTCACAGGGCGGCTGGAAAGTTTGTACGTCCACCTGCCACCACAAGGCACAAAGTATGAACTTCCCAGCCGCCTTGGGACAGGCGTCCCCGATCGTACAACAAGTTCATGCCATGCCGTTCTTCGTCCGCTAATTACAGCCTGCGGGATGGGCCGTGTGCGACGGGATGCTGTTGCCCGCCAGCAGCTCGAAGGAGCACGGCTGGCCCGAGCTTGGTGCACGAGCTCCGCTGAACGCTTGTGTCTTTACATCCAGCGAGAGACCCAGGGATACAGTCCACCCGCAGAGTAAGGATGAGCAACCTTCCCAAGGGTACCCTTGCATTCTTGCCTCGTCGGTCCATCCTGAGCGACGTTCGCTGGCCGACCTCGTTCGAACAACGTTAACATGGCGTCCAAAGCCCCTGCAGCCTTACCGCGCATTCTCATGATACGGGTTGACTGTAGCCCCTTTTGCACCTAGTTCACGATAGCTCCTTGTGGATGTGTTCGCCGTAGCAGTTAACCATTACGCTGCAGGGCCCTGCGGTCCCCATCTGACTTTCCAGCAGGTTCTGCACCGGACTGCCCTGGCCAGTGTTGTATCGGAGGGCATTGCTATTGAATGGTCGTACAGAGAGCGTCCTCAAGATTTTTACCGGGGGTCTTCAGTAGCAAATCATGAGAGCTTTGCGCACCCTCGTAAGTCTGCCTTTAGCGTTGATTAGCGTCTGGGAGTCGATGAGGTAGCGCCGATTTAGCGTCGATTAGCGTCGGTTTAGCGTCCATTAGTGTCGGCTAGCGTCGAGTAGCGTCGATTCGCAATGGTATGGGAGGCTCCCATGAGTTGTCACGGCCACGTCACATGGATCGGTGTGCAGCACATCGAGTAGAAGCTGGCCTGCCAACAGGTACCCCCAGGAATTGTCCTGTCCCCCGATCGTCACATGGTGCGAGAAGTTTGGGTGCAGTTTTGATCAGGCAAGGGTCGACGACAAGTGTGCCTCTACATGCTTTTGAAGCAGCTTCTCCACGCCAGTATCGCAGACGGGCGGGAGACCGGTGGTCTTGGCTCTCCCTGGTTCTCTGGTGTTTCTTCTCCTTTCTTCTAAACGAAAGGACAAATCATCTCTCTCCTCCTCTCTCTCTGCCAGGACGTGTTTCTGAGGTCCTGACGCAAAGCACAAGCGCAAGAACCTCCACATGCACAAACGCGCGACAAACAAACACAAGCACAAACACACGCATGGGCCTGTATTGGGTTCCAACGGGGAAGTTGGTTGCATTCCAAATGAGCGATGCACAAAACATGGTTCAATTGCCCTGACATAGCTGCGTAAGCTGCCTGCGTAAGTGTTTGCGTCAGCTGCCGCGTAAGTTCTCGCGTCAGAGAACGTGTTTGCACACACACACACACACACACACACACACACACACACACACACACACACACACACACACACACACACACACACACACACACACACACACACACACACACACACACACACACACACACACACACACACACACACACACACACACACACACACACACACACACACACACACACACACACACACACACACACACACACACACACACACACACACACACACACACACACACACACACACCACACACACACACACACACACACACACACACACACACACACACACACACACACACACACACACACACACACACACACACACACACACACCACACACACACACACACACACACACACACACACACACACACACACACACACACACACACACACACACACACACACACACACACACACACACACACACACACACCACACACACACACACACACACACACACACACACACACACACACACACACACACACACACACACACACACACACACACACACACACACAAAACCAAATAATCCTCCAGCTCCCGCCCAGCTCCCACCCAGCTCCCGCTCCAGCTAGCTGCCAAATCAAGGGGTCCGATTTGCCCAATGCAGCTCCCGCTCAGCTCCCGCTCAGCTCCCGCCCCAGCTGGCTGCAACGTCGGACCCGCTGAAGTCCGAATTTCCCAGCGTAGGCAAAATCGGACCCTCAGCGGTCAGAATTTCCCAATGCAGCTCCCGCTCAGCTCCCGCTCAGCTCCCGCTCAGCTCCCGCTCAGTTCCCGCCCAGCTCCCGCCCAGCTCCCGCCCCAGCTAGCTGCGGAATCGGACCCTCAGGGGCCAGAATTTCCCAGCGCAGCTCCCGCTCCGCTCCCGCCCAGCTCCCGCCCAGCTCCCGCCCCGACTAGCTGCAACATCGGACCCTCAGGGGTCCGAACTTCCCAATGCAGCTCCCGCGCAGCTCCCGCCGAGCTCCCGCCCCAGCTAGCTGCAACATCGAACCATCAGGGGTTTGAATTTTCCAATGCAGCTCCCGCTCAGCTCCAGCTCAGCTCCCGCCCAGCTCCCGCCCCAGCTAGCTGCAAACTTGGACACAAAACGACAGAATTCTGCAGCTCCCGCTCAGTCCTTGCTCAGCCCCCGCCCAGCTCCCGCCCCAGCTAGCTGCGAAATCGGACCCCAAGGGGTCCGAATTCCCTAATGAAGCTCCCGCTCAGCTCCCGCCCCAGCTAGCTGCAACATCGGACCTTCAGGGGTCAGAAGTTCCCAATGCAGCTCCCGCACAGCTCCCGCTCAGCTCCCGCTCAGCTCCCGGTTCAGCTCCCGCCCAGCTCCCGCCCCAGCTAGCTGCAACATCGGACCCTCAGGGGCCAGAGTTTTCCGACGCAGCTCCCGCCCAGCTCCCGCTCAGCCACCGCCCAGCTTCCGCCCCGACTAGCTGCGAAACCAGACCTTCAGGGGTCCGTATTTCCAATTGCAGCTCTCGTTCAGCCCCCGCCCAGATCACGCCCCAACTAGCTGCCAAATCGGACCCTCAGTGGTTTGAATCGCCCAGCGCAACTCCCACTCAGCTCCCGCTCAGCTCCCGCCCAGCTCCCGCCCAAAGGAGGATACGAGGATGAGTCGGAGGAGGCGGAGGAGGAGGAGGAGGAGGAGGAGGAGGAGGAGGAGGAGGAGGAGGAGGAGGAGGAGAGCCACGGGCTGAGGAGGGGCGGGGCCGTCGTCCCGTCGGTCGCCCCCGCCGCTCGTGGCCGCGCGCAGCGCGCCATCGGCGCCGCAGCCGCGGCGGCGCAGAGCCGCCACGCCCCGAGAGGGCGAGCCCGCCTGGCACAGGCGCCAGCGGGAGAAGAGGGCCAACGCCAGGACCCTCTTCCGCGTGCTGGACGCTGCGCACATCCTCAGCAACCACCACAGCGCGCAGCAGCCCCAGCGCAGCAGCAGCGCCACAGTGCGCAGCAGCCCCAGCGCCACCATGGCGAGTGGAAGATCAGCTGGACACCCTGTCGGTGCTCAACCATGGCCATGGAGACCAGGGTCAAGAGACCGACCACAAGGCACCAAGTAGCACCAGCAGCGACAGCAGCCTCAGCAGTACCAGCAGTGCCACGCCCACGACAACAACAACACCAGCACCACCAACAACAACAACAACAACAACAACTACTACTGCTACTACTACTACTACTACTACCACTACTACTACTACTACTACTACTACTACTACTACTACTACTACTGCTACTGCTACTGCTACTGCTACTACTACTATCAGGACAAAGAAAAAGGCTCCGCAAACATATCGGCTTCGAGAAAAAGAAGTAACAACATGAATGTGAACAACCAAGAGATCGTGTTCACCGGCAGGCAGCATAATAGACTCGACGACGTACTGGTAGCATTACGAGGTGATGATGTAGACCGCGAGCCGCCGAGAGATCAGGAGCTCCTCGAACTACGGACACATAATCACAGGATGCGGTTGGCGCGCATTGCTGACCAAATACACGGAGCACGGGCAGCCAAAGTTGACGACGCGAAGCTGATACACGAGATGCGTGTTGACAAGCAGATGACCGAGCAGACGGAGGATCCGACTACCAGGATCAGGGAGTTCAGGATGACCCTCGACGGCTTCGCCGACGCCAAGAAGCTGATCGAAGAAGACGTGCGAACAAATCAACCGGGACAAAATAACATCGACCACCAAATCAAGCAGGTAACACATATCATGGG